TTCTCCTCACTTAGGATGTTCTATGGGTTTTAAGAATTCCATGCCAGAAATGGGATGAAGACCAAATATCTACTTCTTATTGTAAATCAAAATAACATACATATCTTTTGACTCTTCCAGGGAATTATATTATTAGGTCAAAATGTATGAACTGTATGGTTTGGTAAGTGTTGCCAAACCAGAAAGCATGGCTTCAGAACTCTCAAATACAAACCAGATCCTTTGGGCTGAATCGGTGCCTTGAATCTCCGTTAACCTTAGTTAACCAGCAGGGACACTGCAAACTGGGGAACCGTCGAGCTGAGAGGACACCCAGGGCACCAAGGCATGCCTTGAGACATCCCTATCTCCCTTCAGAAAGACGAGGGAAATTACTTAGAGACCTTTTCTAGGGATTTACAACTTCCTGAAGTCCGCACCTTTTATTTTCACACAGTTCTAAGCTAATCTAAATCCTGCAATCATTTTGGCATTTATTTTTCCATCCAATCCTTATATATTTAACATGAAGGGATTAGATGGGTAAGAGAAAGGGTAAGCAAGCAGTTTATGGCACAACGTTTCAATGAAATACAATACAACCATCAAAAAACTTAAAAAGCTCCTTACATACTAATACAGAATGTTATCTCAGATATATCATTTAGCAAAAAAAGTTGTAGAATAGTGTCCACCATATGCACATATGTGACTACATCACACTTTGCCATAGGAGTTTGTGTATCCATAAAATATCTTTGGAAAGATACAAAAGAAACTTTGACAGTATAATTCCTTAATTTTCAGGGCAACTAAGGGGCTGGTAGAAGAACATTTTCATTGCAAAGTCAAATCTTTCACCTGCTGAACAACATGAATGTATTTCCTATTCTAAAACAAAAATTTAAAAACAAAATGAGGGGACTAGGGCATTTGACTACGTCATGAATCAAATATTTTTCTGTTTATTCTCCAAACACCACTGAAAGGGTCATTAAAGGAATAAAAGAGGATCATAAGTACAGAGAATTTGAAAGGGGAACAAAAGATGGAGCATGTGAGCACACTTTTGGGGGATGGTAAGGCAGTGGCCCAGATTTCAGAGCCAGACTTGCAGTCCCAGCTGCTTCTCAGGAACTCTTGGGCAAATGAATCCCTACTTACTTTGAACTTCCGCTTCCTTACCTGCAGAAGAGTAAGGATAAATCGTCAATTTTACATAGTCCATATTGTGCTAGGCGCTGTGCCTCCTGGGATTACTCAGAGGATTCACTCTCAGAGATCAGAAGCTGTTAGTAAAGCACAGAGAAAACTGCTATTATTAATTTTAATAATAGCATTTTTTGCTACTATTATTTTCATATTTGTCAGTTTGATAGGAAAAAGTAACTTATTTAAATTTTAATTTCTAATTACAAATGCGGTTGAACAGTTACTTACATTCCATTTGTATTTATTTTTCTGTAATATGTCTGATCATATTATTAGTTGTAGTTAACATTTACCACATGTTACTGTGTACCAGGCACTGTTATGATCTCTACATCTATTACCTCATTTTCTCTGCAGATCATGGAGGTGAAGTTATTGTGCCCATTTTCAGGTAAGGCAACTAAGGCTTAGAGGAGTTAGTTTGTTCAAGGCGCCCTTGTTTGTAAGTTGAGTCTAGATTCTGAATGAGGACTTGACTGGGAACCCAGGCTCTTCAGGCTTATGCTTGGAAGACTCTCCCGTTTTTCTGTTGGATTCTTTGTCTTTTCTTAATGTTCTGCAAGAGCCCTATTTTTTGGCTGTAGGTGCTCAAAGTAGGGAGGAATATCTATCTGGGCTGAGGGACAGAACTGGCTTCGGAGATACCATGCCTTCCTTTCAAAGTAAGGCTGTTCATGAATCAAAGCAGTGCAGTCAGAAAAGATGGCAGAAAACCAACCCAATACAGAGCAGGAGACTGCAAAGATGAGTGGACTTTGACCCTCTTAGAGAAAAGTCAACAGTGACTCACAGGAAGAAGATGAAGCCAAAGCTTCCAGGCTGTCTCCCATAAGCACGCAGGCCAAAATCACCGGAAGGAAGGGGAAAACCTGAAACAGTGCTGGTCAGGAGCTTGCTGAGGACTGATGCAAATGAGCCCCAGCCACAGCTGCCTGGAAACCAGGTCACGAGAAGTCAGAACGCAGAGCACCTGCTGCAGGGCTGCACTTGGGGAAGGAGGCGGCGGCTCTGAGGAGCAGGTAAGGAGCCAGAGAGGGTCATGGAGGGATGGGTCACAGGGCCCTAGGCTTCTGAGAGACAGCATTGTCCCCCAGGTGAATACTGGCCTGGAGGCAGGGCTCCTAGGATCATCTTTGAAGCTCAGCCTGGCAAGCCACTTCACCATTCTGAGCCTTGGTGCCCCCATCTAGAACATGGGTATAAAAATACCATGCTAACTATGTATTGAGCACCTGCTGCGCTTTGCTGGGCACCCTGCAGACATTATTCCTCCCTAATAGTGAGCCTCAAAAGTGGGATTATTAACCTATTTTACACGGAAAAATGAGGCTGAGAGGTTGAGCCATTTGTTTAAAAACTCATAGCAAGTAAGTCTGATTCCAAAGCCCACACTTTCAACTCCCTATCCTGCTTCCTCCACAGGATGATTTTAAAGACTCAAATGGCCTTATACAAATGGAAAAAATTGTAAAAGACAATTATACCATCTAGATGTGAGTTGCTGCACTTAGATCCTAGCTAGAGGTCCTTTGTAAACTGTGAAGTGTTACAAAATTCCAGTTCTTTGTCTCTCTACTCTTGAGGTTGTAAACTTAGGGGCAATGCTACAATTAACATTTGTCTGGTGACTTAGTCGTAGACAGAGGTGATGTCTTTGGTTGTGATGTTTAGGACTTACTCTACCTGAGACGTCCTGGCTTGGGGTGGGTGGCGAGTGGATACTTGGAGAGAGGCTCTCCTGGACCAGCTGGTCCTGAAAGAACAGTGGATGCCTGAGTGGACCATGGCAGATAAGGGCGCAGGTGCTGTTACAACACTGAGCATCTGCCTCTTGAACAGCCCTCTACAGCTTTGGCCATGGAACTTCAGAAAATGTAGGTCTGCTTTGTAGGGAAGGGGAGATCTTTAAGAGTACTAATACAAGCTTACTATAGTAAAATTTGAATTTTCAAATAAGAGGGGAAAAACCCCACCTATATTCTTACTCCCAGAGATAACCATTGTTGACATCTTGGTGTTCATTTTTCCAAACACTTTTTCCATTGCACACATACATTGGAAGATTGGATAATATTGTAATGTGGTTCTATTACTGGTTCTTTTCATTTCAGGACACATCACAAACATATTTCCATATCAGTAGGTGTTTTGGCATGTCATTTTAAAGGCTGCCGAATGTCTGCATGGATGGAGCAGAATTTATCTGGTCATTGTCCTGCTGTTGAGTAACTAGGTAGTTTTCAGTACTTCACCATTAGGGGCGTGCTTCGCTGGGTAGTCTATAATCAGATCTTTGCACAGGTCCTTGATTATTTCCATGGATAGATTCCCAGTGGGGAAATGGCTGAATCAAGGCTATGTACATTTTACAGCTTTTGATAAGTACTGAACGCTTGCTTCTGACATTCTGGAATTCAGGAACTCCTCAAAGCTCAATGCAAAAATTTCTGTGCCCTCAAAGTCAGCATTGACCCTTACTTTCTCTCAGTCCATTTGTAGGTTAATGCCAGCCACCTCACATATAGTCTTTGCTGGGCACCAGGCTCCTCTAAGAGCTTTACCCTCTAATTTATACTATTTTTAGCTTCCTTTGTAGAAGAAATTGAGGCCAGAGAGGTTGATCAATTCAACTGGAGTCACACCCTAATAAGCAGTGGAACTGGGGGCTAAGACTTGACAAACTGCTTCCAGAATCTATGTTCTCCACTCCTTCTTGGGAAGTGCTTTGATTTCATGTGCCAAGATCTGTTTTGCTCCATTCCTTTGATCTTCTCTGCCATCACCTCACCTATACCAAGTACCACCATCCTAGCCTTCTATTTCCACTGTTCCTTTTAGCCTGTTCTCTGCTCTGCAGCTGGAATGGTATTTTTTGAATGGAAATAGTGGTGGCAGATGGTAACTGCACTTATTCTGGTGAGCATTTTGTAATGTATATAATTGTTCAATCACTGTTGTACACTTGAAACTAATTTAATATTTTATATCAACTATACTTCAATGAATTAATAAAATAAAATGGAAATAGGCTCATATCACCCACCC